TCCAACAATGCACACACAGGTAAAATTCCATGATTTGGTATCTATTTCAAACTTTGTTTCCTTGTCTCCTACATTTATTGCCACATGAACAGCTAGGATTATTTTGAGGTGAGGTTTTCTTGCGTCTACCTCACCAAACAACATGTTGGATGAAGCCCATTACATGCCACCATGAACAACTGGGGTAAAAGTCTTGCTCAAGGACACAACAATGACAACATGTCTCAGCTTCAAAATCCGGTAGTAAGCATCAAACTACATATCTTGGATCTTCATCCAAGATTGTACAAGTTTGCAATGCTCTACCTACTGAGCTGTAACAACTTCCTTAATTTAAACTTTCTGTGGATGAACTTTGTGTTAAAAGTCATAAGTGTCGAGGACACTTAAAACTGTGTAAGATGTATGTATATTGAAATAAATTAATAAAGGAAAAGATATATCAAGATGGAATGACATATAATCTTGAGTGTTTAGTCATGCCGATTATTTATATATATTATATTAAGGTCTTCACTTGATCATTTTGCTGGATGAGTCAATGGAGAGGTAATAATTTATCATGTCCAGTCAAGTGTGACCTTTTGCTGTGTAGTGCACAGTTATTGGCCACTGAAGGTTTAAAGTAATGAACTCACATAAAACCGTTGAATATTTTCTTGTGTTCATGTAGATGGGTTGAGATTTCAACATTGATGATCTGTTATACAAATGGCAATAACCAATCAATTACCAGCTTGTTTATCCAATTAAATGTAGTGGTTTTTTCTATTCTTTAACATTATCTTACACAAAAGTGACCAATAACGTTTCATCAATTCATAGCTTGTTTTAGCACTGCATATCATTAGTTCTCAAATACAAAATGTATGTTTTAAACTAAAGAGTCCTTCTGGTACTAGAAGTTGTAGACATTAATGGTAGACATATTGGTCACCTTCTAGCTTTAGCTAGTGGGGATTTCTCTTTCGTTTAGTAGTTGATTGTCTGGCTAGAACTTCACTATAGCCACACCAGAATCATTAGTATTGGTGGAGGTGAAAATCAGAAAGAAGAATTCAAGCCATAGACCTAATTCAAACCTCAGCAGCTAGGAGATTGACACTTTCCATTTACGTCTGTATAGAATAATCATTACATCGTAATCCAAGAAATCCAAGGAAATCTAGAAATGTGTTCATCTCCCAGTCAAAATATAAACAAATCACGCCTTCATGTTCCAGATGCAATCAACAATGACTGCAAAATAGGTTTCATTTCAAGGGAAAACAAGTTCATAAATCCTTGCTCGTGATTGCACACATGCAAAATTATCACGAGACAGTATATTTGTGTAGAGTATATTTGACTTACATGACATATATACCATGGTAAAAGAAAAAAATCATACAGACCTATCAGCTGTCTCAAGCATTTAAACATGTTCTTTGCGATACGCCCTAAATTCACAACAAACAAGCATTGACAAAACATGAACATGTAATCTGAACTGTCACCAATACCAAAATAATTACTCATCTTTATTAGCACAAATTGGATGATGTAATCTGACGACTGCTTTGTTCACATCTATGTAGTTTGCTGACTGCAATTTATTGCTTTAAGCAATATAGCTTTCACACTCTTGATCATTTTCTCGTCCTTATGAACAGAGTTTAAGCTGACCACCAGAATTTATATAAAAAAAAAATAACTACTCTAGTCAGTAATATTTCGTATTAATTTTTTCTCAAACTTTTCAATTAATTTATTGTTATCCTATATATTATTTTATATCAAAAGTGAAAAGTGTTTCAAATGTCTATCTGACAAATGATATCAGAAACTGAAAGTAAAAGTCTGTGGAGGTGGGCCTAGCTACTGAAAATGATACTAAAATACAAACGACCGTTTTCATGATCCGTTACCCTTTCAAATATGTATGGTAATCAAAGCACCAATAATATCTCCCATAGAATAAGTCATGGAACTAAGTCATTACTGTAAAATCTGTGCTGTTTAAGAAACATTGAAAGTACGGCTGAAGGGGAAAAAATCGAACAGTGTAGATGATGATTTCTTCTAAAGATAAAAGAGGTGCAAGAGTATCTACATGAAATAGTTCCATCTACATGAAATAGTTCCAAGTTGTAGTTTAAAACACAGTGTCTTATAACATTTTTGCTTTCTCTTTTTTATCTATTTATGTTATATAGATGTATTTACTAAATAACAGCATCAACTATTACATATCCTTTCCATGGAGGTAAATCTACCTTGTTGAATCTTTTTTGTGGTATAAACTTTGGTCCAGCTTTTACATAGGTTAGATAGCAGCTATCTTGGTAATGGCTGTATATGCTGAACATCATACAGATGCACAGGATCTAAAAACTGGCCTGCGATATTGAAATATTTATTTGTATCCGGTGAAGATCTATGTAAAAAAATATGCAAAACCTTCCTTTAATTGGGAAAAGATGTAAATCCCCAATACACTTTAGATTATGTCCTGTTTACATACAATTTTGGAGTTGTTACAGAGCATGCAGTAGACCTTAGCATAATTGACAAGATGGCTTATTTATGTTAATGATCTCAAAATAACTGTTCAATATAGCACACACCATATACCATACAGCCAAAGACCTCGGACGGCAATAATCTTCAACAATACATTACTGTATACTATATAAATCATTTGTATCATCCTGGCATATTGTGACATTTCCAATATTACTAAGGAACTATACAATTCTGTTACCGTTGAAATGAATAATTGGAGATTAGTTTTGATGTCAGGGCATGCATGAAGAATGCAATATAAATCAATAATACATTGGTTTGTATATATAATAGCACAATTGATACATGTCTGATATAATGTGTTTGTATTTATAGATGAATTTTTTCCATCCTTTCAATGCAGTTTACTCCAAGATGATCATTACACATAAACTAAAGTATTTTGGATGATATATTACAAACCATTCAATTTCAGCTCTGCGAAAATCCTTCCTATTGCAAATCTGTTACCAATCATGTCATTCAGTTCACACACCTACAGGTCATACAGGTTACACAGGTCATACAAATTACACAGGACTTATAAGGTACCACATGGCAGACAACACAGGTCACACATGTCTTACAAGTCCCTCAGGTACCACATGGCAGGCAATACATGTTACACTTGTCTTAGAAGTCACTCAGGTACCACATGGCAGGCAACACAGGTTACACAGGTCTTACAAGTCACTCAGGTACCACATGGCAGGCAACACAGGTTACACATGTCATATAAGTCACTCAGGTACCACATGGCAGGCAACACAGGTTACACATGTCTTACAAGTCACTCAGGTACCACATGGCAGAAAATACAGGTTACATGTCTTACAAGTCACTCAGGTACCACATGGCAGAAAATACAGGTTACACAGGTCTTAAAAGTCACTCAGGTACCACATGGCTGGCAACACAGTTTACACATGTCTTACAAGTCACTCAGGTACCACATGGCAGGTCATAAAGTTTACAGGTCATACAGATTAAATTGTTTGGCCTGCACTTTGTGTTAAGAGTCTGGTATGACAATAGAAATAGTGAGAAATAATACCTAAAGCCAAGAGAACTAAATAACATCAATTATAATACCAAGTATAAGTTAGTGATGAAGGTGTAACTCAGAAACAAATAGTCCCATAAGATTATGCATACCTGTCTGTAATTAAATGCTTATTACTGAATAAAAATATTGTTTAAACTAAACAAATAGTAGGGCTCCCACACCCCATTTTGGGACTGGGGCCCAGGGCTCTTAGAATTGGGAAAAATAGTTGTGTTTTCCTTAGAATTGGGAAAACTTTGGGTCTAAATTGGGGAAAAAAATATATTTTGCATTGGGAATTCGGCCCCAAATCTGGCAGATCGAGAGCCCTGAATAGAGATAATGATCTTTTCCATTTTCCTAAGGTTCCTTTTGCAGGTCATGCCCTTTTTTCTTGCATCTTCAATAAAAGAGAATAATTGGGTGATACAAAGTCAGGTGTAGAGGTGAGAGTTATCAGATCATGTGACATATAATACTTCCAACACCAAACATAGGAAATTATTTAAATTGAAGATATACCAGTTGTAAATTGATCAAGAAATTCGAAATATTAAATATTGATTGTTGAAAAAATTAACGGAAACAAAATTACACAAAATAAATGTTGGGTGACCAGCATACTGTGAATTTCAATGCACACCTTTTTAGTTATTCATATTACAAATGACCAATACCTCACTACATATCTCTTGATAACAGGATTATAAATAGATCTTGTGTAAGGTCTTACTTCTGAAATATATTCCTAAAATTTATGAAAAATCCACTTAAACCTTACCACTAAATATACGCCTTACCAAGTAAACAAATTACGGAGTAAACACGCGTCTCGTGCTCGGGTTGATTGCGCCGTATGTGATCATGATTCATCTAAATGTAAAACACCGGCCGTGTCTTATTTTTTTTAACATGTTCCACATTGAAATAATGGTTTTTAATTGACTGATTTTGGACCCAAGCTAGACAAGTTACTAATGATTTATTAACAGGTATTGAAGCGTGACCACTGAGAAAAGTGTAAACAACAACACACATATGTGTTACCCTGCCTCTGACCACATCTCGTGGCACGTCCAGAAATCTATACACAACACATTTTATCACCTCCTGGGAAAAGCTCGCTGTGAATTCATTATTAGTCGTGCATACCTAAATGTTATACCTTTGAAAAAAAGAATAACCAAAGATGACAGCCATGGAAGAATTTTTTAAAACAACGCCTGATTTAGGATGTAATACATCAAATTATTGCGGACGGTCAAGAAATTGTCCTGCAATTTCTCCGTGTTATCGTATGGTGGTAAGAAAAACACACTGTTTGTGGCTTAAATATTTGACAAACGTCTTATTTTCTCCCATAAATCTCAAGAGAAAAGAGGTATAGTGCTGAAAATCAGACAAACATTACCTTATTTTCTTCGTCGGAGGCACAAGGAACTTTTCCTGTGGAGTGCTCTGACGAGTCTGTCGCCATGTTTCTAGAGATGGCTTCGTTCCAGATAAATCCGTCAGATGGCGCTGTGGGGGTTTTATAGCCAGAAAACGTGGTCCAACACGATCGAGTGTGGTAGGGTCGAATAGATCGATAACGTCAATTCTATCTGGCCTTTGTCCTGGAAATGTCGACAAATGAATAATTAACAGGAAGACATTTGAAAAGTAACTACGTTTTAAGATTCGCTTTATTTCTTTTAATGAGGATGAACGACATCGATAATTAAAACTGTAGTCTTAAAGGTCAAGATCGAAATAGATTATTCCAGAAAATCCCTGTGGCAAATTTTCCGACTTCTTCCGAAATATATATTAGGTATAATTATATTGTGGTTATTTACAACGTGACGAAAATAAAGCTTTTCACAATGTTCAGCAGTACGTATTTTTTTAATGATGAAATGAGGTATTAAATTACAGGTACCTCCATCAGAATTTTTTTTCGTTGTATTAGTGTGAAGAAGATGTTGAGACCATCTATATTTAGTTATGACTCGGAAGTAGTGGGTGGTGTTTCAACATATCACCGGATCATTACTGAAATAATAGCAAAACAAACAGGTTAAAGATTTTTTTCAGTATCCGGATTGTATTTTATAAACGGTTACATTTTAGTTCGACATTAGACGAACACATATATTGGAAAGGGAGTAAATGGACAAGGAAAATTACAGACCGGTCAGTTTCACGACGTATGTCAGTCACTGCAAAGTTTTAGAAACAATTATGAAACTCCATTTAATTAAGTATATAATATCAACATATTGAATTGAACTTTTGACAGTTATGATGAATCAGATAACGGAAATGGAAGTTGCCAAGGACATACAGAGATGACTCTAAAAATGGAATTAGCAGAAAGCTAAAAGTTTGGACGTAATATCATGTTATTTGTTTCAACGTGGATTAAAAAATAATCAGTGTGGTTTAATGTAAATTGAATTACACTTACGAAGAGAGCTTTAAATGTTGACAATGACATACTCTGTCTGATATTGGGGTCTAAATCGTTCCAAAGTCGAATAGTACATGGGGGTAATAAAGTTGTAAGATAATTTTGTGCGAGATCAGTATGAATATTGTAGAAAAGCTGCAATTTTCTTCTTTTCCGTCTATTTGCTTGTGGTTCTAGTCCACTTTCTAAATATGATGATTCCCTGCTCGTGTAACAGTGTAATCCAGTAATTACACGGATAGACTATAGCTAAAGCTTTTGTCTGCATCAGTGTGAGTACATCCGTCCTATACCTCACAACAGTATTCCGATTAAGCTAGAATGTATAATCTATAGATGTTGTTTAATGTTCTTCTACTTAACACATACAAATGTACTTCAGATTTCGTAAAACACTTACCTGTTTTGACACATTTTTACTACATTTGCAGCTTTCATTTAATATTACTCGCAGGTGCTTATAATTTTCTGCAAATGCAACATCAACATTATTAAATTTCATCTCATCTACATGATCAGTCTCAGAATTGGAAACAAGTAATGCCTCTGTCTTCGTACGATAAACCTTAACTAACCACTTATCTGGCCAAAGTCTAACTTGAGATAATCATTGATCGTTGTTTCGGTGTTTTCTGGAGAGGTAGCTGAGTGAAGTAAGGTGTCATCTGCAAATAATTTATACAAACTTTCAAGGTTATCAGCAATATGATTAATATACAGTATAGATAAAAGAGGACCTAATATACCGAGCCTTGAGGGATTCATGCATCAGTAGATTTAACTAAGGATTTAGTATTAACATCAAAAATTAGTTGCTGTCTATCACTAATATTGTTATCTAACCAATCTAATGATTTACCCGAGATACCGTGGTTTGCTACACACGATCGAACGCTTCTGATATATAACAGAACACTAAACACGTACGACGTTTTCCCCTTTAAATTTTCATATAATAAATGATGAATTATGTAATTTGACGCACATGGCTGAAAACCAGACTGATATTTATATATTAGGGAATGTTTTGATAAATAGTTATTCAAATATTTTACAACTTATCTTTCGAAAAATTTCCCAATAGTGCTGAGCAACGATGTTAGTTGTACATTCGAAACTCCATGTTTATCACACCCTTTCAATGGCATGACTACTGTTTTTTTCCGCAGAAGATCTAAAGATAAGAGATAATAGTAGGATTACTGTTTTTTTTCCACAGAAGATCTAAACATAAGAGATAGGGGCTACGGATACAGCTGTATTTTTTTTAACATATTATGACTATATTAATTTGCCCAAATTAATTTCTAAGAGGTGGTATACTATTTGAAGAATCATGTTTTTATTAATCTGCTGATAATTTTTTTCAAAAAATTGTAGGATTCGAATCTGAGTTGATCGAGAGAACCATTTATATATACACAAAAAGTTCTTCAGTGATTTTCCTACGATTATTGACACGAATTCGTTATTTCCGGAAATTAGTAAGGTTATGCGTGTTACATTAGATTTAAAAATTGTCACTATTTTTGTCGGTATAAACTTCCCCTTGAATAGCGAGGTCCAAGTATCTGTGTACTGTGTGTATATGTTTGTAACAGGTTCACCAGTATGGGGGATTCAGGGAGATCTAGCATCTATGTATCCTCAATGTAACTGATTAGCAAATACCTGATATCTAATTAACGTATTATGATGCGGATCAGAATCTGCATTCTCGTGAAAGTAACGGCTATACATGTTTGGTTCAAGACAAGTTTCTATTGCCGAAATGGAAAGAACATAAAACCTTTTATTGTTTTATTTTTACTTAAGCTTAGTCAGGCATTAAGTTATATGATTTTTTTTTTAATTTCGTTTATGAGTGTGGTCTCATTTTCAGACATCTTCCTGTTCAGAAGTGTCTGAATGTAATTCCCCGTAGATATCCCGTCCATTAGTTATGACGCGTGAGTTTAAAAAGTTTGTAATACGTTATCATGTTCATGTTGGCGATTTCTTCGAAACCGTACGATACAGTCTAGTGTTATAAAATAAAATCATTTACCCTTCAAATCAATCTATATTAAACGATTTGTGACAATAAACCTCTCTGATATTCGATATGATTCACGTTCACACTAGATAAAAGTTTCTTTATTGTGATCAAGTATTAATTAAACAACCTGTTCCAATATTTTAATATGATTTTAAAGACTTGCTCTAAAACTTCAACAAATTACAATTTGCTCTTTTCTCATTTGAATATTTAAAACACAATACAAATACAACACATTGATAACACTCCATATGAATACTTTAATCAACAGTTTTTCTGACTGTTGTGATCCATAACTGTTGAAAAAATACTTCCTTAAAAACTCAAACCGGAAGGGGAACTCCGCCAACAAATTCGAAGAAGGAAGTTTTTCTACCGATGACCTAATATGTTTGACGAGGCAGTTTGTATTTCTCAGGAAACTGATTGTTCTCTGCTGGTTTTCTTTTCCCTTTGAAACCCAAGTAGCTGTGTTTTTTTTAGAGCAAACTCCAAACACTAAGGTGGACTGCTATCTGTCGTCTATTTGTATATTACGATCGATGTTGATAAACGTGGTCTTACATTAATCTCCATTTGATATGTGATTATGAAACGAGTCTAGGGATTTTTCGTTAAGGTTAGCGAACTAACATGACTAATTCCCGAAGAGTTTCATAAATCGCATATTAAATGGAAATGACTTTACGGTCAGGTTTACAACATATTCTAAGCATATGTAGAAAATGGACATTTCGGTCACAATGTCATCTATGTATAAGTACCATCACTTCACTATCTACAATCACAATAAGTTATGTTACACTCGTGTCACACGCAAATATATGACGTGTATGTTCACAGAATAACAAGGCAGTTAGGTGATAATTCAGGGCCGGAAATGACGCAAGGTTTGATATATCAATAATCTACCTAGGCTTGTCTCTATGATCTAATGAATACATCATTTTACCGCGAGATCATTATCAGACGTTTCGGACCGGGGCCTTGCTTTTTATAGAACAGTTCGCCTTTAGACTACCAACTGTAAAAATAATCTGTGCTATGTTTCTGAAGTAGCAGGTTCCTACAGAGAATAGACATGAATCGTATGGTTGCAAAATCCTATAAAACTCGCGGGCAAACTTAAATAAAATTATAAATGCTATCGTATTCCGGCAACAAAGTATATATATATATATATAATATTCATATATCTATTAAAATATGACACGCATTTGTGGAGCATTAAATAAAGAAAACAAACAAATAAACAAAAACAAAAACAAAACAAAAAGCAAAACAACAACATGAAATATCTCTATAAATTCAGTAGACAAAAAGATTTAATTTAACTAATAGATATTTCACTGCTAATTCTTCATTTATTTATATACATTACATTTGAATATATCATATCATCTTATAATCTCTATAGATCTCTGTTTCAATTAAAGATATCTATGAATATCATCATTTAAAGAAAAAAAAAAAGTAAATTTTGCAATCAATCGTTGTTTTGAAGATATCTTGAATTGTTTGATACTCAAAGAATTTTAAATTTGAATATTTTGAGAAAATAGAAATATCTCAATCAGAATTGAAGATATATTTATTTCAATGTATTTGTCTGTTTAGAATAATGATACATGATAATACATCTGCTAGGTTTGAAGAGATCTCTTACATTTTCAATGCAATACATCGGAAGAATTTTTAACTTGGCTTGCTAAACATCACAGTTCTGATAACCCAGATACAACATTTCCGGAAATCATTCGCCTCAAATTTCCCGCGAAATAAAGTAGGAGTTAGTTCCCTTAGGTGGAAGTCTTCAGGCGGAAATGGCCGCCTATCACTTGTCTGCAGTATTTTGTTGGTCGGCAATTTGACAATTACATGTGAAATACAGTAAATGTTGCCTCGTGGTGTAAATTAACATAATTCGATGAATTATATCATTTGAAACATTAATATGTCGCTTGAGGAATTGGAACAGGTATGTAGAAGATTGTAGATTAATTGTTGATAATTTCTACTTGTTGCTTGTAAAGGGGTGTAACAGTGTAACGCATATTACTGTCGAGTCCCCCGAACTACAAACATTTGCATGTAGTCACTTGCGTTGGTTATTAAGGTCAACCTTGAGTCGCCATACTTAATAGCTGACACGAACCTCGATAAATCGTAATCATGTAACAAATATGCAAGTGCCTATCCAATGTATCGGTAATAATCAGCCCGAGCTTGTCTTGTATACGACAGCTGTCAAGTCTCAATTTCGCTTATTTGCTGATGTATTACAAGAGAGAATCGGAATTATTATAGTTAGTTGAATTTTAATGCCAGCAAATGCTACATAGTCATATTTTTTGTGAGCTCATTATCATCCTTCCCATAGAATACCAAACAACCCCCTATTTCACTGTTTCGTCCCACCTCAAAGGGGCACTCATATCAATAGCATATATAAAAATCCAACCCAAGACAGTCTAAACAAGGCTTTGTTTAAGGTTCAACCGGGGTCACTGACTGTCCTGCCATAACTTGGAAATCAACCTACATCTGGCTTGTTATATTTGAGTAAGGATAACAGATAAACATTAGTTGACATTATAAACCAATCACTCCAAAACAGATACCTTGAAGCTATTGTAAGGGTCACCATAGACTTAAATCAATATTCAAGCAATTAAGTCCAGTCAACTACTGTAAAGATCAAACTGTAAGTCTCAGCTCCATAGTAATTAGTAATCTAATGCATCCTGAATTCAAACTTAATGTAATGATGCAGATACAATCACCATATTTTAACAAGAGATGCTTTATATCTTTGGTAAAATCGACACTGGGCTAATAACTAAGTAAGTCTGAGCACAGATGTACCTAATAATATACGTGTATAAAATACTGGAGTATTATAACTACTGGTAGTGGTACTCATGATAAATATTCTTCATTTTAATTTTGATACAGGAACCTTTCAATGCCCATGAGTTCGTGGAAAGATTGGCATGGCGTACCATGGGAACCAAGGGAAGAAGTAACCATGATGACTTTGATCCAATGTCACTTCATGGGGCTTTTGAAAAGATGATTCAGGACCTGAAGGAGAAAAATGCTCAGATGGAGAAAAAAGTAGAAAAATTAGAAGATGCTTGTAAAGAAGAAGAGAAAAGACACTGGCAAAGAGTAGCAGATCTTCAGAAGCGCAATAAGGTTGATATGTTATGTAATCAGAAAAAGTATAAGGCATTACAAAATATATAAAAGGTTAGCTTGCTGCAGATAGGTGAGGCCTCTAAATCATAAGTAGTAGTGGACGATATCTGGCTATTTATATCAACTCCATGGGAAACAAATATGGAAGGGATGTTTTTATTAATATGTGTAACTATAAAGAGTAAAAGAAGATAGTATTGATTGAAAAAAAGATTCCAACTGAATATGCTGACAGTTTTATTGTTCAGAATGCTTGCAGCATTTGCAAGCTGGTGGAAATGAAGATGTTATGTATGTAATACTTGTTTTCTAGGCATCCTATTCCCACTTCCAAGAACTAGATGAGAGAATCAACTTGGTAGCAACTAAAGTTGTCCACCTTGGGGATCAGCTGGAGGGTGTCAACACTCCAAGGGCCAGGGCTGTTGATGCTCAACGACTTATGAACTTCTTTAATGAGTTTCTCAACTATGATGAACCAAAGTCGTCAGTGTTCACTGATCCTTTTCAGGTAATCACCTTTATGTATACCTTCATATGTGCAACACATGATGCATTCAGTGATGGGGTTTAGAAGTTTACACTATCATATGTGAAAAAACATGGTGCATTCAGGGGTGGGGTGGGGGAGTTTATACATTCATATTTTCAGAGGGTTATGCCCCTTTGTAATGTTATTTTTAATTTAATTTGTTTCTGATCATAAGATGTGAACTATTTCCTTTACACTTAATAATCTTTGAACTGAATAACATTACAGTAACAGGTAACCATGTGACCAGTGTGGCCATCAGATTTTCTGCCTTGTTGTAAACATGTACTAAGTAATTATTTATGACATGAAATTGTATATACTGGTGATGTGGTGTATTTTACTCATGATTCTTTCAACTTATATTCTACAGCTTCAGTTGGCTGCGGAAATAATCCAGAAGTTATATCAGATAGCCTTGGAGCTTCCAGCTGGAGAAAAGTGAGTCCATAATCAATGTCTCATGGAAAAAGTCAGAGCAGTTCTAATCAGAATTTCAGCTTTACATGTATTTACAACTTTGTATCAAATTTCACAAGTTTCATATAAACTAACAGAATTATTTACGGTTCGATTTATAAGATAGGTAGTTTCAACATAATATCTCCCAAAAATGAACAGATGAATACCAGCAAAGATTAAAAAAAAATTTTGTTAAGTTATATCAAAATTATATTCGCGATCAACTGGTCATAATGAACATTTTTTCACCAATGTTCACATTAACAAGATACTTAAGAATTTTTCACCGATGTTCACATTAACAAGATACAGAAGAATTTTTCACCACTGTTCACATTAACAAGATACTGGAGAATTTTTCACCTCTGTTCACATTAACAAGATACTTAAGAATTTTTCACCTCTGTTCACATTAAAAAGATACTGAAGAATTTTTCACCACTGTTCACATTAAAAAGATACTGAAGAATTTTTCACCACTGTTCACATTAACAAGATACTGAAGAATTTTTCACCACTGTTCACATTAACAAGATACAGAAGAATTTTTCACCACTGTTCACATTAACAAGATACTGAAGAATTTTTCACCTCTGTTCACATTAACAAGATACAGAAGAATTTTTCACCACTGTTCACATTAACAAGATACTGGAGAATTTTTCACCTCTGTTCACATTAACGAGATACTGAAGAGCTTTTCACTTCTTTTCAAACTCAAAAGATGTAAAAAATATCAGTTACTGTTATTATTTATTTAAATGTATCTTGTCAGCAGAAAATTGTAATGTTATATACATGTATGCCTGATATACACACTCTTGTTATTACAGTTCCAGCTGCCTAATTGCAATGACATTATGTATGATGTGTGATGTAATGTAAGCTATTCATGTTACATTAATGTGATTGAAATATTCCTTGTTTGCAGATTTGACAATGCCAGAAAGAAAATATGGGGTATGTTTTAGCTTAAAAAACTCTGTATTAGATCAGCTTACTTTGACTTTGAGTTATTCACTTTCTAAATCTGCTTTTCTACAGGAAAATATGACTTTTATTTATGGCCAATTTTCTTGCCTGTTTTCAGACACTTTTATTGAATAAAACAATTTTAAGTGAATCATAAACCAGGTTGTTAGCCTGAAGAATTCTGAAATAGAAACAGTCACTTCATAACATCATATTTGAATTTCAATTACTGACACATTATGTACATTATATTTGATCTCAGATCGATACCTCCATATTGAGAAAGAATTGATCGCAGAATTTTTGATCGCTCATCGCCATGAGGACAGACGGAAGATGAAGAGGGTGGCCTTTGTCTTGTCGAACTTTAAAGTAAGGAAAATCAACAATTATTTTAACTGTTTTTCCTCTATTCAAGGTAATGTGTGAAGAAAAAGTGAAATACTGTTATGCTTTAAACACAAACTGTGATAGAGTGAATTGTATTGTTGATTTTGGTTAGGTTTACTTTTGTATAATTTATTTTTATTTTTCAACATTTTTTCACTGCAACATAAATACATGACAAAAATTATTCTAATTTTGATTAAGTAAATAACCTTACTTCATACATGGTTGAAATAATTGCACATGGAATGGAACTTCACAAGAAAGTGTAAAAATGATGTTCTGGTTGAATATTGATGTAAAAAGACCAGCTGTACAAGAATAGTTGACCTTCTGTTAATCATATAGTAACTTTTCCTTTTATGTACAAATCAACTTATATTGAACTATAAAAAAAAACTAGAGTCTGGGTATTTTGATTGTGTATTTTGATGATTCCAGGGTTATGGTGAATGTATTGATTGTGTATTTTGGTGATTCCAGGGTTATGGTGAATATATTGATTGTGTATTTTGGTGATTCCAGGGTTATGGTGAATGCATTGATTGTGTATTTTGATGATTCCAGGGTTATGGTGAATGCATTGATTGTGTATTTTGGTGATTCCAGGGTTATGGTGAATGTATTGATGGTGTATTTTGGTGATTCCAGGGTTATGGTGAATGTATTGATTGTGTATTTTGTTGATTCCAGGGTTATGGTGAATGCATTGATGCCTTTATAGAGGAATCTCAGAAAGTAAGTACCAGGTGACCTATCAATTATCTTTTATAAAAGCTAATACTTAATTTGCATTTCTTAGATTATGTAAGCAAAGAAATATAGCTGGGGTCAGTTTTGCTTACAAACTTGATAAGCCTGGAAGGGCTTTGTATTTCTAACAAGGTAGTGACTTTTGATAAAAAAAATAATGAATTGGGGTGTACTATTTTTCTTCTTTAAAAATAAATTGAAGTCTATATTGCTGATAAGTGGGTGTGACTTAAAGTCCTGCTTGTGTTGATCAGGGGGCATTCCAAAAGGCTGATCCGTTTGATGATGTGGTACCGTTGTGTACAAGGACTAGTGACCTCGTTACCAGTGTGTTCAGTAGCCCTGATACTGTGATGGCAAAATTTGTACAGACTATCTACAACACAAAACTACAGGTAAGGACATTACACAACACCAAACTATAAATTAGGAAATACAAAACACAAAACTACAGGCCAAGTTGATACACATCACCAAACTATAGTTCAGTAACACTTTAAAACGTAATTTGCTGGCATTGACTCAATAAAATGACAACTGTATGAAATTGATGCTGGTGTAAGCTAATATAATATCTTGTTAGAGAATGTGATGCACTCCAGGGTATGTTTCAGTCATTATTTTAATTGTTTAACAGACACATATTGCCTCCAAACTTGAATCCAAAGATGATCCTGAGGAATATCTTATAACATTATTCCAACTTTACACAAGGTGAGCCTCTTTAAGCAGTTTCAATATTTGCCCTCTATAAAGACTGTCTTTAATCAATATGACTAGAGCCTGATTAAATTGTATACTGAGATTTCTGCAGTTTCTGACTAAAAAGACCTATTTAGATCACATCTTAAAACGTCTGTACCATGTGTTGATATCATTTTTATCAATTGAATTTTCAAGAGAAATTGAAGCAATAACTACAGTATAGAAAAGGTTCAGGTTTTCAGATATGATCAAGTATGGTTGTTGATCTTTTGGTTTTATATGTATTCATTGCAAGTTACAATTCAAATGTTAATATCCTTTTTTGTTTTTGATAGAACGGTGAAGTTATCAGAAATATTCTTTCTTTGTTTTTGATAGAACGGTGAAGTTATCAGAAGATTTAGCAGTATTTAAGATGGGAAATGACAGCCTGTTCCTGACAAAGCTAACCAAGAGTATATTCCAGAAACACCTAGAAGCTTATATCAAGTATGTCATTGTATACTTTTTGTTCCTGTCATAGCATACACATATACTGTAGTTGATTTGTAGTTTATAAGCCCACTATCATCAGATGGTGGGCTGTTCAATTTTTTCTAGGTCTGAGATTCATCCGTAAACAATTCCCCATGGTCCCTAGTTGTGCCTGTTTGATTTTAGGAATGATCAGAAAAACAAAATGACAGACAGGCAGCTGTCATGGATTTTGACAATGAAAGTTTGTTATCACTATTTCTGTAGAAATGCCTGATGGATCTGTCTGAATTTTCATATGTACCCAGACTACATGTAGGTTTCTCTTGGTCCTTGGTTTTGCCTTTTTGGTTTTTGGAGTGATCAGAAAACGAAATAGCTGACAGGTTACCATCTTGCATTTTCTCAATAAAAATTTGTTATCATTATTCTAAGAGATGCACATCTTTGTCCTTAGTAGTGCACTTTCCATCATGACACTGATCAGAAAAACGAGCTGACTTTGACAATTAAATATTGTTATCACTGATCTTACAATATTTACAAATTTCTATAATTAAAAACCAGAGTTGTGAAAAGAATAGAAAAGAAGTAAGAATCTGTGAAACTTAGCAGCTATAACACTTAAATCTGGAGTTCTCTTTTTGTATTCAGTTATCATGCAACAGTCCTTTTGCTCTTTACAGTTTTGAAACTAAATACTTAAAGGAGCGTTGCTCAGCACATCTCCAGAGGTATTATGATAGTAAAGATCACACCAAGAAGCAGATTCAGTCAGGCGGGTAAGTGATGCTACACAGTAAGTAGTGTGAACAGAATGTACCTCTGTATTACTATATCCCAATATGTATCAGGTTGATATATATATATAAACTTGATCTATTTTACAACAATTGCGAAATAAGTTATGTCAACTTATTCTGATCATTCTTGTTGGCCTGGATGTAAGAGTGCGAGGGGTCTTATTGTGGGAGGAAACCAGAGTCGGGCAGGTGACCTCTTACCTTTTCACATCCGCTCTGGGAATCAAACTCCAGTCGGCTAGGTGAAAGGCGAGTAGGTTACCGCTGCGCCACCCGACCACCCTGTTGATGCTTATGGGTTCATTACTGTTAACATAGTGACCTTTTGATCTTTCTGTCTTATTAGAGACATATGTCTTATGTGTGATGGGAACATTGCTGGTAGAGTTCACTTTGTACTTAAGATCCTACTGAAATTATGTGTAAGGGTTGCAGGATATATAATTAAGATATGTTGGACAGTTGAATAGGCTTTATTTCCATTGACCAGCTTGACAGAACTGAGACGAGATTTACAGGCGAAGATTGGGACCATGACTAAAACCAACATCAACATTGGGCCTGCCATAGAGAACTTTGGAGGAGAGACATTTTTATCACAGGAAGTGACTATCAGTCTACTACAGGAGGCTAAGAATGCCTTCAAACGCTGTCAAGTGGTGAGAATGCACTCTATACATGTATACTATGCAGGAGGTTTTATTGTCAGTGAGACTAATAGAAACTTTTTCGAAGGTGATATAAGAGAATATCAACCCGAGGGGAAAGATGAAAAACATGAGGCTTTCAGAATGTTTGTAATTTGATCATCTTTTACTAGTGGCTGAGATCCCCTATCTTAACAACAAAGGGTTAAAAGATTGTTTTTCTCTTATCCTGCTGGACTTCTTAAGTGTCTCATTGATTCACATAATTCAAATCACATTAGATATGACAATGGTATCCCCTGTCTCAAACTGAATGGGGGTGATACAAGGAAACCTTACAAAACTAAAAAGTATGGTTTTACCTGTCCAAGGTAGCGGAAAAAAATCAGATCATGTGTTCCTTGATGATAAAGAAGAATATTGCTTATTATTTCTGGTCATGTGATCCAAGTCAGTTACAGCTTCAAGTGACCCAGTTTGACTTAGATACTGCCATTGATTTATTCAAGTCATTCATCTTAGCTCCTAACAAAGTTAGTAAAATTGCAACACATCAGTACAAAAATTACAAAGTATATTGGCAAAGTTTATAAGTTCTAGTATATATTTATATATAAACTATTGGATGCTGATAACTAGTCTTACTCTGTATAGATAAAATATGTGTATGGTGGAATACAATTTTACCATTTATCATTTAGTTGAGATGTTTAAACTACTGATCCTACTTTCTGTTTACTAGTTATCCAGTAGTTCAGATATGTCGGGGAATGCTGTACAGATCTTTGAGGTCTTAGTCCAGTACTTGGTTACTGAACATATAGACTATGCTGTGGAACTTGGTCTTCAAGGTATGAATTGTTGTAATTATTTAAAGGTAAATTTATAAAATTAAATAACTTTGATAAGATAAGAGAGATAAGACCGGTCAGGAATAATTCCGGTCTATTCATGGTATTCTCAGCTTGATCAGGACCCACTTACTGGTATCATGGTTCATGGAGTCTGAAGGCTGATTCCATAAGAAATTATTTTCATTCAAAATCATTATGACATGTACACAGCTAGTAAAAAATTACAGAAATTGGAAAAAAAATAGGCAAATGATTTAAATTTTATCATGCATGAGGTTCTTTGATTTGGGATAAGTCACCCATTATCAGATTTTATGATGGTGATACTGGTATGGTAAAATTGATACAATTTAGCCTTTGGATCATTTTCATTTATCATTTGTACTTGATGTTCCTTGATGAGAAATACGGATGGACCTGCTACCTTCTTTCACTTTCTGACAAGCCTTGACATTTATTTTTTTTAGCCTGTATCAACGTGTGCGGATCTGCTATTATTGTAGACAAAGCTGTTGTCTTCATAAACAAACCAGGCATAGGATTACATTCATTGTAATACTTGCACTACAAATACTAGTGTCTGACATAACCTTGAAATGTCTTCTGTTTACAGCCATTCCACTGCCAGACCCTAAGTCTCAGCCCGAGGTTTACTTCTTTGATGTGGTAGGCCAGGCCAACACACTTTTCCACTTGTTTGAGAAACAATTCATGGACAGTTTGGTTCCTCTAGTCATGTATGTTGTAGTAACTGTTATTATTAAGATTTCTGATCATGTAGTCACTGTTCCTGTTATTGTAAAGATCTCTAATCATGTAGTTATTGTTCTTGTAAAGATATCTGATCATGTAGTTATTGTTCCTGTTATTATTAAGATTTCTGATCATGTAGTTATTGTTCCTGTTATTGTAAAGATCTCTGATCATGTAGTTATTGTTCCTGTTATTGTAAAGATCTCTGATCATGTAGCTACTGTTCCTGTTATTGTAAAGATCTCTGATCATGTAGTTATTGTTCCTGTTATTGTAAAGATCTCTGATCATGAAGTTATTGTTGCTGTTATTGTAAAGATCTCTAATCATGTAGTTATTGTTCCTGTTATTGTAAAGATCTCTGATCATGTAGTTATTGTTCCTGTTATTATTAAGATTTCTGATCATGTAGTTACTGTTCCTGTTATTGTAAAGATCTCTAATCATGTAGTTATTGTTCTTGTAAAGATTTCTGATCATGTAGTTACTGTTCCTGTTATTGTAAAGATCTCTAATCATGTAGTTACTGTTCCTGTTATTGTAAAGATCTCTGATCATGTAGTTATTGTTCCTGTTATTGTAAAGATCTCTGATCATGTAGTTATTGTTCCTGTTATTGTAAAGATCTCTGATCATGTAGTTACTGTTTCTCTTATTGTAAAGATCATGTGATCATATTACTCATACAAGTTACTTTGTCTGTTATTGTAATGATCCCTCTAGTCATAAATGCTACCGGGTCATAGAAATCAATATCTGTATTTCAGATCTTCCCCCAGACACAGTCAATGTTTACAGCGGAAGAGGGAGTTGAGAGAACAGGTGGAAAATAAAATAGACACTGGTTTGGACCGTTCGAATGCTGCCATTGCTGGCTGGGTACGAAATATTCTAGCTGCTGAGCAAAAAAAGTCAGACTTTAAACCAGAAGATGATGACGCTATGCAGATGGTGTCACCGGTGAGTGTCTTTACAATGGCACCAGTGAGTGTCGTTTTACTGTTACAAGCGAATGTCTTTATACTGTCACTAGTGAGTGTCTTTATACTGTCACTGATCCGTGTCTTTATACGGTCACCAGTCACCAGTGAGTGTCTTTATACTGATTTTGTCACCAGTGAGTGTCTTTATAATGCCATTGGTGAATATCTTTATACTGTCATCAGTGAGTGTCTTTATACTGATTTTGCACTGGTGAGTGTCTTTATAGTGCCATTGGTGAATGTCTTTTTACTGTCACCGATGAATGTCTTTATACTGTCAACAGTAAGTGTCTTTATTATGCCACCAGTGAGTGTCTTTATTATGCCACCAGTGAGTGTCTGTATACTGATTTTGTAACCAGTGAGTGTCTTTATACTGATTTTGTCTTCAGTGAGTGTCTTTATACTGATTTTGTCTCCGGTGAGTGTCTTTATACTGATTTTGTCTCCAAGGAGTGTGTTTATACTGATTTTGTCTCCGGTGAGTGTCTTTATACTGATTTTGTCTTCAGTGAGTGTCTTTATACTGATTTTGTCTCCGGTGAGTGTCTTTATACTGATTTTGTCTCCAAGGAGTGTGTTTATACTGATTTTGTCTCCAAGGAGTGTGTTTATACTGATTTTGTCTCCAGGGAGTGTGTTTATACTGATTTTGTCACCAGTGAATGTCTTTATACTGATTTTGTCTCCAGTGAGTGTCTTTATACTGATTTTGTCACCAGTGAGTGTCTTTATACTGATTTTGTAACCAATGAGTGTGTTTATACTGATTTTGTTGCCAGTGAGTGTGTTTATACTGATTTTGTCTCCAGTGAGTGTGTTTATACTGATATTGTAACCAAAGAGTGTGTTTATACTGATTTTGTCACCAGTGAGTGTGTTTATACTGTATTGTCTCCAGTGAGTGTGTTTATACTGATTTTGTAACCAATGAGTGTCTTTATACTGTCACTGATCCGTGTCTTTATACGGTCACCAGTCACAAGTGAGTGTCTTTATACTGATTTTGTCACCGGTGAGTGTCTTTATAATGCCATTGGTGAATATCTTTATACTGTCACCAGTGAGTGTCTTTATACTGATTTTGCACTGGTGAGTGTCTTTATAGTGCCATTGGAGCATGTCTTTTTACTGTCACCGGTGAATGTCTTTATACTGTCAACAGTAAGTGTCTTTATTATGCCACCAGTGAGAGTATTTATACTGATATTGTCTCCAGGGAGTGTGTTTATACTGATTTTGTCTCCGGTGAGTGTCTTTATACTGATTTTGTCTCCAGTGAGTGTCTTTATACTGATTTTGTCTCCAGGGAGTGTGTTTATACTGATTTCGTCACCAGTGAATGTCTTTATACTGATTTTGTCACCAGTGAGTGTGTTTATACTGTATTGTCTCCAGTGAGTGTCTTTATACTGATTTTGTAACCAATGAGTGTGTTTATACTGATTTTGTCTCCAGTGAGTGTGTTTATACTGATTTTGTCTCCAGTGAATGTGTTTATACTGATTTTGTCTCCAGTGAGTGTCTTTATACTGATTTTGTCTCCAGTGAGTGTCTTTATACTGATATTGTCTCCAGTGAGTGTCTTTATACTGATTTTGTCTCCAGTGAGTGTGTTTATACTGATTTTGTCTCCAGTGAATGTCTTTATACTGATTTTGTCTCCAGTGAGTGTCTTTATACTGATTTTGTCTCCAGTGAATGTCTTTATACTGATTCTGTCATCAGTGAGTGTCTTTATACTGATTTTGTCACCAGTGAGTGTCTTTATAATGTCACATTTCAGTGTAAGATTGAATGATATCACATATAAAATTTGTTCATTCACAGAGTGGGACACTATTTACGTGTCTATGATCCCCTTGTCAATATCAGAATATTCTGTTATACATTTGATGGGTATGATGTGTTTACATGAGATGGTAATCATGTGGATAAAGACACCAAAAGTTACTGCTGGTTCCAGATGTTGTCTGTATGGGAAGGACAAGTAAATTCAGTACATGTAGTGTATGTACAATGTACAGACGAGACTAAAACTTATCCAGCACAACAACTCCTAAATAAGTCTTCTGATAGTAACTCCTTCTTGAGGCCTGGTAAATTATCAATTGTCCCTGATTGAATCATTGTTTACAAATGGTGGCCACAAAGATCCCACAGATATACATTTTATTTTGATAATAAGTGTTATGATATTGTTATCTCCTGCTTCAGGCTTGTCTAAAGGTTTCGAACTTCATGCGGACAATATCAGGCTCTATACATGGTAGTTTGGATGGAAAGAATGTTGACGCTGTGTTTACTGACCTTGGGATAAGACTTCACAGAGTCATCTTTGACCATCTCCAGGGATTCGTGTACAACTCCCTTGGTAGGTGAACCTTTCCTCTTCATCATTTTGTTTGTGAATTTCCTTAAATTTCTCTAAAGTAACACACTATTTCCCAAGTCTTAAGCTCTGTCCATTATTTTGATTTGCTAGTTTTTAACATGTTGAGTTTGACCGACAGGTGCCATGTTGGTGATTTGTGATGTGAATGAGTATCGTAAATGTGTGAAGGACTTTAAGATTCCCCTGGTCACGGAGCTGTTTGAGAAACTTCACGCACTGTGTAACTTATTAGTAGTGGTCCCAGAGAACCTCAAACAGGTCTGCAGTGGTGAACAGCTGGTGAGTACAATGTGTTTTGTGATATTACGCAAATTTAGTTTTTCGCTCAGATGTTCAAACACCTCATATAACCAAATATTTTCATCATGATATGGGAATGTGTTTTTGATATTTCCAGAAAATCAAGGGAATTTTTTTCTGAATGAAGTTTCAGGCAAACAAATCAAGCGTGACTGAAAACACATGTATTTGTATTTATTTTCATTCTTTTTATTGCCACTTATTACAACTGTTGTTGGGTATGACTTTTTTATAACATTTTAAATAATCATCTGATCTCTCATTTCTTGTTTTGTTCATTATACAGGCTGGCATAGACAAAACTGTGTTATTGTCCTGTATCCAGTTACGAACTGATTTTAAATCTGCAAAGCTTGCCAACATTTTGAAATGAATTTGAGTATTATGTGCTTGTATGGATACAACCTGCACTGAAATGGCTGACTGACAATGGAGGTTATGTAACAACACTTCTGAATCTGTCTTGCATATGATGATCCAGCAAATCTGTGTTATCACAATGTAACAACATTGATGTAGCAGCACAAAATCAGTAATACAGTGGCTTTTTGGTCAATTGGAAAATTACTTTTGTGTTTTAAACTATATTTGGGGCATGAGGGATTTGAATATTTCACATTCATTGTCACACATGGAGTAAACCCTGAAGTGTTGTGTTTGACCCCATTTTGTGATTATGAGAATGGAATATTCCTATCCTTTATCTTAATATTCGAAAGAGTCTTAAAATATTCCCCCAAGTTTCCAGCTGTTGTTTTGGTGGGGCTACGTAGGTGGTCCTCTCCTGCTGAGGCACTCCCCCACAACAAATACCTGTAGACTTGTCACTGTGACTGTCTGATGTTTGCTGAGAGCTGTATCACCCACTCTCTCCCTTTTTAATGTTTTGATGGTATGTTTGTCTCTGTGTCAGTGTTATTATATCAGTTATTCTGTAATGTACACATACTTAGCAGTAATTAGATTTTAGCGCTTCTTGTGCTTGAAGTATTGTGCTACGATGTGATTGCGCTAATTGCATTTTCCTTTTTCGTCGCTCATAGAATAATTAAAGCAGGTGTGTGAATTTGTCATTGTGCTAATTTGCCTAAAAGTGATAATGCACTATATGTTAATAGTATGTTAAACCAGATATATTGTTCCTTATATTTTGTTTTGTATGAGAAAAAAAACCTAGTGTTGTTATTTGGAATATAGATTGTTACCTGATGTATTTTGTCTTTTTTTTCACCCAAATACCACATTTATTGAAAGATTATTTATTTCATAGCATAATTACTGGATGTAGAATTTTATTGTGTGGGTTTTTTTTAATAACATTGCTATGATGTGTTTTTATGATATGTTTTGCAGTAGTGTACATGTATACATCAAGTACTGTCTGTATAGCAAATTCTCTCAGTGTCATATATCATAGTCATAGTATGTGTAAATTTAATATTGTCAAATGCTGCTGGATCAGCCTGGTGATGTCTCAGTACCAATTTCATCCCTGATACTCCAGGGGTTACAATCACTTACTCTCTGCACCCCTAGAACCATCCCTGATACTCCAGGGGTTACAATCACTTACTCTCTGCACCCCTGGGACCATCCCTGATACTCCAGGGGTTACAATCACTTTTACTCTCTGCACCCCTGGAACCATTCCTGATACTTCAGGGGTTACAATCACTTTTACTCTCTGCACCCCTGGAACCATTTCCGATACTCCAGTGGTTACAATCACTTTTACTCTCTGCACCCCTGGGACCATCCCTGATACTCCAGGGGTTACAATCACTTTTACTCTCTGCACCCCTGGAACCATTCCTGATACTTCAGGGGTTACAATCACTTTTACTCTCTGCACCCCTGGAACCATTTCCGATACTCCAGTGGTTACAATCACTTTTACTCTCTGCACCCCTGGAACCATCCCTGATACTCCAGGAGTAACAATCACTTCCACTCTCTGCACCCCTGGAACATGTTATGGCAAAATTCAAGGTTCCATGTGCAACACCTTGTGGACAGGACAATAAAGACTAGTTTGATCCTTTGATGTACATCACACGAATCTCAAGGTCACATAAAGGTATATTGTAATGGCTTTGAAGTTTGGTGTCGCTGCTTTGTCATCTTCAGAAGGAGCATATTGGCCTATGGTTTGTAATTTTTTTCCCTGTATCCAAGCGAAGGCTTGTGCTTTCAAGTTTGCCATGACATGTATTAGAGTTGCAGAAAACAAAAAGTGATTGTAACCCCTGGAGTATCATAGATATACTGTTCTGTCTGATTAGGCATGTGCTATGCAGGGGTTACATCCCTTTGCCCTTTATGAGCATCAGCTTCACAGATGTGGCCAAACATTTCAATCTGATTACCCAGACTTACTTCTATTCATCTTTGAGAATGTGGTATACCAGTTGACTGTTTGACATTGATATTATGTGTTAAATTGTCAATATTGATGATGTAGATTTAAATTGTCAGTATTGATGATGTAGATTTAAATTGTCAGTATTGATGATGTAGATTAAATTGTCTATATTGATGATGTAGATTTAAATTGTCTATATTGATGATGATGTAGATTTAAATTGTCTGTATTGATGATGTAGATTTAAATTGTCTATATTGATGATGATGTAGATTTAAATTGTCTGTATTGATGATGTAGATTTAAATTGTCTATATTGATGATGTAGATTTAAATTGTCAGTATTGATGATGTAGATTTAAATTATCTATATTGATGATGTAGATTTAAATTGTCTATATTGATGATGTAGATTTGAATTGTCAGTATTGATGATGTAGATTTAAATTGTCAGTATTGATGATGTAGATTTAAATTGTCTATATTGATGATGTAGATTTAAATTGTCTATATTGATGATGATGTAGATTTAAATTGTCTATATTGATGATGTAGATTTAAATTGTCTATATTGATGATGTAGATTTAAATTGTCTATATTGATGATGTAGATTTGAATTGTCAGTATTGATGATGTAGATTTGAATTGTCTATATTGATGATGTAGATTTGAATTGTCTATATTGATGATGTAGATTTGAATTGTCAGTATTGATGATGTAGATTTAAATTGTCAGTATTGATGATGTAGATTTAAATTGTCAGTATTGATGATGTAGATTTAAATTGTCTATATTGATGATGTAGATTTAAATTGTCTATATTGATGATGTAGATTTAAATTGTCAGTATTGATGATGTAGATTTAAATTGTCTATATTGATGATGTAGATTTAAATTGTCAGTATTGATGATGTAGATTTAAATTGTCAGTATTGATGATGTAGATTTAAATTGTCAGTATTGATGATGTAGATTTAAATTGTCTATATTGATGATGTAGATTTAAATTGTCTATATTGATGATGTAGATTTAAATTGTCAGTATTTCTTTAACTCTTCTTAAAGAGTTTTGAACAATATGTTTTTACAAGCCAAAATCAACAAACTGAATTGAAGACTTTACTTAAGGTCAACTCCTCAGAAGTCCAAAATTGAAATATTTGATACACATGATTTGGATGGTATTGTGCTAGGTAGGCAAACTTAGGTCACTGTTTTCAATACTTTTCCAAGGCATGTCAGTAATATTAGGATAAAATTTGTCACTAGTTGCAAGGGCAGATTTCCAAGTTATCAAGCTATTTATCTTTAGGAGTACCATATCACTACTGGAGCTGTAGGTTACTTTTTTTTAACTTTTATTTTTAAAAGAGAGGGAAATAAGATGGTATAGTTTTGTGTTTGTGTGTCCAAGGAAGCAGTAGTAGAAACACATGTTTTATAAACATTCTTTTGATAAAATGTTGATGAAGTCATGTTTTGAAAAGAAATAACATATTGTGTCATTATATTACAGACTTGTTATAAATACTAGGAACTTGTAACAGTATATATTGTACTGGACTTGTACAATAAGAATTACATCTGCTTGTACTTGAGTGTATAGTGTGATAGAACTCTGTATTGCTTTGTTGATGATAATGGTGTGATTGGTAATGTGCAGCTATCGACGCATTCCTACTCAAATGTGCAATATTCAACCCACTAATAAATTGTAAATTCTCACAGCGTGATGTCGTTTTTAGTTGGTTTAATGATGGAGTGATTGGAAAGTCGGCAGACAATGGTTTACAGATTTGGAGAGTCTATCTGAGCTAATTTGTCTGTGTTTTTATGTAGCAATTTTTATTAATCTTTGTACAATAAGAATATAAGTATGTGCCATGTTAAATCTGTGACAACAATTGTTACATACACCACAGACTCTGATAGAGAGGTGTCTGTGTATGACTACAGAAACACAGATCAAAATAGCACAGACTCGGGCATGTATACTCTCATTATAACTGAGGAAAATTGAATATCTGGAATTTGTGATAGTTTAGAACGTAGTCCAAAAAGGGTCCATCTTGTACAGAGGAAAGTTGAGGTACATTCCATCAGAAAGCAACATAGACTACACAAACATTAAAGAAAATAGATTCATCTTCTAGGTTTGAAATTAAACATCTTCATGTTATTTAAAGGTTTATTTTCCTTTGCTGTACCATATCTAATGAAAACACGATATGTCCAAAGTACCTGTGATCCAGAAATTGTCTATACTTTGAGTATATTAGGTATACAACACAATAGTCACACGAGGCAGATATATCAATATCGGACAACGCTGGTTTACAACGTGACAAGATAATATGTCTGATCGATACAAGGACCATACTAATGAAACAACAATACTCCGTCTATCATCTCTGTCGTCTGTTCCTGTACGGAGCCGTGATTTTATGTCATTGTCGCAGACGTGGCTAGTCAGAATGGCCGACAAAGATAAAAACATAATCATAGATTAATGAATGAGTACTGGTCAGTGACGCCTTCCTAAATTACTTTCTTGTATCGAAATATCTATATTTCTGTGTGTATCGAAATATTCACATTTCTGTGTGTAAATACGTCAAACTGTAACGTCGTCCTCCAAATCAAGAAAATATCGCCAATAGCCGACTTCTATAGCATTAGAAAACCGTTATCTTTCTGAAATATCATTACGTTGTGTCAGTCAGCACACAGCAACTGTTACGACATGTAAATATCGGTGTGTGGAAAAGCGGAGATGATAACAGGATATTCAAATCAGAGAGAGAGAGAGAGCATTGAGTAAAGATCGATGTCGACGGTTGTTACAATCTTCTATAGTACCATTGATTCCTTACATCACGTATCTGCAGTGGACATGCCAATAATCTGTTGGAATCGGAAAGCTTTACGTACAGACATATTCAAAGCGTGTATCAAAGTATTGAACCTAACAAGAACCCATGCATTCTCTGCATGTTGTTCAACCACACTTTAATCCAAGCTTAATTTCAATGTATTCCTGTCTTAGCTCTATCCCTAGTATTACAATTTCATAATCATGCAATATATTATAAATATGAAATTAATCGATATTGAACATTTCCCAATGAGAATATCTCTACTTTAAGAACATTTAATTTTTCAATGCTATACGCTACCTTTCCCCACTCAAAACGAAATGAACGCCGTTATTCTCGTGTTTGGAGGCTCTCTCTTCAACAACAGGAGATAAGATACCGACATTAGTTCTAGTAAAAAAATTCACAAAATATGACCTAAAAAGATTTACACGAAGATCCCTAAAATTACCCAGTCAAATCGGGTTACGTGACGTTTTCAAAAACATCCAGAACACTAACGAACACGTCCAACTTCGTTTGAAGCCCGTGAGTATATCCTGTTGTTTCGTTATTTGTATTTAAGAAGCCGACTGTCCTTTTGAAAATGTGACCTACCTAGGATAGATAAAATTTTATAAAATGTCCTGAACCTTCCTCAACAGTCTTTTTATTCCAATGTCTCCGTGTAAATATTCCAATCCTTCATATTGACGAAGCAACGAAGCAAGAAAACTCTGAAACCTTCCGAAACTTTTAGTTTTGTTTTTTATTGTCTCATTGTAAATATGTCAATTGTTCATATTGATGGAGAAAAAACTCTGAAACCTTCCGAAACTCATAGTTTTGTTTTTCATTGTCTCATTGTAAATATATCAATTGTTCATTCATTGTTCATCTCATTGTAAATATATCAATTGTTCATATTGATATATCAATTGTTCATTGCTGATGAAGCAAAAAGCCCCTGAAACCTTCCGAAACCTATAGTTTTTGTTCATTGTTTATTCCAATGTTTATTCCTCATTGTAGATATATCAATTGTTCATTGCTGATGAAGCAAAAAGCCCCGATTCCGAAACCTATAGTTTTCTTGTTTATTCCAATGTGTAGATATATCAATTGTTCATTGCTGATGACTATAGTTTTCTTGTTTATTCCAATGTCTCATTGTAGATATATCAATTGTTCATTGCTGATGAAGCAAAAAGCCCCGATCCCTTTCGAAACCTATAGTTTTCTTGTTTATTCCAATGTCTCATTGTAGATATATCAATTGTTCATTGCTGATGAAGCAAAAAGCGAAACCTATAGTTTTCTTGTTTATTCCAATGTCTCATTGTAGATATATCAATTGTTCATTGCTGATGAAGCAAAAAGCCCCGATCCCTTTCGAAACCTATAGTTTTCTTGTTTATTCCAAGGCCTCTGTGTAAATAATCCTTCATTGTAGCCCTGTTTTATCGATTGATCTACAAGAAGTTCAAATATTTTTACGATAGAGATGTTAAGTTTTGATATAGCTGATGGTGTATTTATCTGAGTTCTATTCAAAGTGAGAGTGCGGATGTGTATATGTTACATTTTCTGTTTAAACACAAACCTTGCCGCTCGCAATTTATTTTACAAGTGCATCATATGTACTGCATTATGGGATCTGCTGCCAAAGTCTTACATATAAATTTTAACAAGTTTAATAATCCGTTGATGGAAGTAGTGATGTTATATTCGTAAATCCTTCGGCTTGAACACCAAACTATTTCTGATTAACAGACAATATGTAGATCACTTTGTGCAATATTGCTCACGCAGCACTCCGAGATTAATAATCAAATTACGACTATTAAATGTGAAGAGATAAACATCGACAGCCATGATTGCCGCCTACGCACGGCTGATGTGTTGCCTATCGCACGCGCAGACGAGTGCTGCCAGTCATTTGTCACCGATACAACACCATCAAATCATAGCAATGGCTTCTGTATGATCACTCTGATAATTTCTGATGTTTCCCCTTGTTTCTGTCATTGCAGTTATAAAAACTCTAATATCTTTATGATTTAAATGCCATTATAAGTAGGCGGAACTCTTCTTCGGATCAAAGCTATTTCTAAGAAAACAAATCATTCAGTAGTTTTCCGATTGTTGGCTACATTTTGAACTTGTATAAAAAACAAGGAAGTCGTTGTCTATACTTCTGTATATTCGAAGAAAAGCTCTGTGTATGGATGAGATGATCCGCATCAGTTTTAGTTCGTTCTTGAACGATGTTTTATATGATAGAATGTTTTTGGTATAGTGGGCCCCTCCGTGATATTTCTAACTCTGCATGCAGACAAACTAGCTCAATTTTAACGATCTTTGAATAAACTCCCACGCACTGCTGATAAAATTCGAATATCAACAACATTCAGTCTGATAGCATGAGTAAAACAAATAAAATTGTGGAGTTGTTTAAAATCTTTTCATGTGTAACTGCCGTGAAATGTAACGCACAATATGTAGAGCATTCGTCATAAAGTCTAAGCTAATTCAACAGAGAAACATCACGTTATAACTCGCCGTGACTTTGAGTCATAATCTCACTGATAAACACTTTGATTAATTGCAACTTGCAAACAAAATAACTACGTATCTAACCTTTGTTAGTAACAATAGGTTGCAGTGCTATAAGATCGCTTATATTCGTCAACACGAAGTGCTAATAGACGCTATTTAGTAAATATTGAACGTGTGATGGTAGATGTTACTAAATATATACTGAAGTGAGACGGTACATGTTATTAAGTATATATTGAAGTGAGAAGGTAGACGTTAAAAAGTATATATTGAAGTGTGAAGGTAGACGTTAAAAAGTATATATTTAAGTGTGAAGGTAGACGTTACAGAGTATATATTGACATGTGAGAGTGTAGACGTTACAGAGTATATATTGAAGTGAGAGTGTAGACGTTACAGAGTATATATTGAAGTGTGAAGGTAGACGTTACAGAGTATATATTGAACGTGAGAGGGTAGACGTTACAGAGTATATATTGAACGTGAGAGTGTAGACGTTACAGAGTATATATTGAACGTGAGAGTGTAGACGTTACAGAGTATATATTGACATGTGAAGGTAGACGTTACAGAGTATATATTGAACGTGAGAGTGTAGACGTTACAGAGTATATATTGAAGTGTGAAGGTAGACGTTACAGAGTATATATTGAAGTGAGAGTGTAGACGTTACAGAGTATATATTGAACGTGAGAGTGTAGACGTTACAGAGTATATATTGAACGTGAGAAGGTAGACGTTACAGAGTATATATTGAACGTGAGAGTGTAGACGTTACAGAGTATATATTGAACGTGAGAAGGTAGACGTTACAGAGTATATATTGAACGTGAGAAGGTAGACGTTACAGAGTATATATTGAACGTGAGAAGGTAGACGTTACAGAGTATATATTGAACGTGAGAAGGTAGACGTTACAGAGTATATATTGAACGTGAGAGTGTAGACGTTACAGAGTATATATTGACATGTGAAGGTAGACGTTACAGAGTATATATTGAACGTGAGAAGGTAGACGTTACAGAGTATATTTTGAACGTGAGAGTGTAGACGTTACAGAGTATATATTGAACGTGAGAAGGTAGACGTTACAGAGTATATATTGAACGTGAGAGTGTAGACGTTACAGAGTATATATTGAACGTGAGAGTGTAGACGTATATATTGAACAGAGTATATATATGAACGTGAGAAGGTAGACGTTACAGAGTATATATTGAACGTGAGAGGGTAGACGTTACAGAGTATATATTGAACGTGAGAAGGTAGACGTTACAGAGTATATATTGAACGTGAGAAGGTAGACGTTACAGAGTATATATTGAACGTGAGAAGGTAGACGTTACAGAGTATATATTGAAGTGTGAAGGTAGACGTTACAGAGTATATATTGAACGTGAGAAGGTAGACGTTACAGAGTATATATTGAACGTGAGAAGGTAGACGTTACAGAGTATATATTGAACGTGTGAATGTAGACGTTAAAGAGTATATATTGAACGTGAGAGGGTATACGTTACAGAGTATATATTGAACGTGAGAGTGTATATATTGACGTTACAGAGTATATATTGAACGTGAGAAGGTAGACGTTACAGAGTATATATTGAACGTGAGAGTGTAGACGTTACAGAGTATATATTGAAGTGAGAGTGTAGACGTTACAGAGTATATATTGAACGTGAGAGTGTAGACGTTACAGAGTATATATTGAAGTTTGAAGGTAGACGTTACAGAGTATATATTGACATGTGAAGGTAGACGTTACAGAGTATATATTGAACGTGAGAAGGTAGACGTTACAGAGTATATATTGACATGTGAAGGTAGACGTTACAGAGTATATATTGAACGTGAGAGGGTAGACGTTACAGAGTATATATTGAACGTGAGTATATATTGGGAGAGTAGACGTTACAGAGTATATATTGAACGTGAGAGGGTAGACGTTACAGAGTATATATTGAACGTGAGAGTGTAGACGTTACAGAGTATATATTGAACGTGAGAAGGTAGACGTTACAGAGTATATATTGAACGTGAGAGGGTAGACGTTACAGAGTATATATTGAACGTGAGAAGGTAGACGTTACAGAGTATATATTGACATGTGAAGGTAGACGTTACAGAGTATATATTGAACGTGAGAAGGTAGACGTTACAGAGTATATATTGAACGTGAGAAGGTAGACGTTACAGAGTATATATTGAACGTGAGAGTGTAGACGTTACAGAGTATATATTGAACGTGAGAGGGTAGACGTTACAGAGTATATATTGAACGTGAGAGGGTAGACGTTACAGAGTATATATTGAACGTGAGAAGGTAGACGTTACAGAGTATATATTGAACGTGAGAGTGTAGACGTTACAGAGTATATATTGAACGTGAGAAGGTAGACGTTACAGAGTATATATTGACATGTGAAGGTAGACGTTACAGAGTATATATTGACATGTGAAGGTAGACGTTACAGAGTATATATTGAACGTGAGAAGGTAGACGTTACAGAGTATATATTGAACGTGAGAGGGTAGACGTTACAGAGTATATATTGAACGTGAGAAGGTAGACGTTACAGAGTATATATTGACTCCAATGTGTGATACACCGTATCTGATAATTTCTCAAAAGATTTAATGACCTGAAACAAAAAAGCCCACATGGGGTTTGATCATCTGATTCCACAACCTGGTTTGATCACCTGATTCCACACCTGGTTTGACCACCTGATTCACACCTGTTTGATCACCTGATTCCCCACCTGTTTGATCATCTTATTAAACACCTGTTTGACCACCTGATCCCCCACCTGTTTGATCATCTGATTCCCCGCCTGTTTGACCACCTGATTCCCCACCTGTTTGATCATCTGATTCCACACCTGTTTGACCACCTGATTCCACACCTGTTTGATCATCTGATTCCACACCTGTTTGATCATCTTATTCCACACCTGTTTGATCATCTGATTCCCCACCTGTTTGATCATCTGATTCCACACCTGTTTGACCACCTGATTCCACACCTGTTTGACCACCTGATTCCACACTTTTTTTACCACCTGATCCCCCACCTGTTTGATCATCTGATTCCACACCTGTTTGACCACCTGATCCCCCACCTGTTTGATCATCTGATTCCACACTTTTTTGATCACCTGATTCCACACCTGTTTGATCATGTGATTCCACACCTGTTTGACCACCTGATTCCACACCTGTTTGACCACCTGATTCCACACCTGTTTGATCATCTGATTCCACACCTGTTTGACCACCTGATTCCACACCTCTTTGACCATCTGATTCCACACCTGTTTGACCACCTGATCCCCCACCTGTTTGGTCATCTGATTCCACACTTGTTTGATCATCTGATCCCCACCTGTTTGACCACCTGATTCCCCACCTGTTTGGTCATCTGATTCCACACTTGTTTGATCATCTGATTCCACACCTGTTTGACCACCTGATTCCACACCTGTTTGATCATCTGATTCCACACCTGTTTGACCACCTGATTCCACACCTGTTTGATCATCTGATTCCACACCTGTTTGACCACCTGATTCCCCACCTGTTTGGTCATCTGATTCCACACTTGTTTGATCATCTGATTCCACACCTGTTTGACCACCTGATTCCACACCTGTTTGATCATCTGATTCCACACCTGTTTGATCATCTGATTCCACACCTGTTTGACCACCTGATCCCCCACCTGTTTGATCATCTGATTCCACACCTGTTTGATCATCTTATTCCACACCTGTTTGACCACCTGATTCCACACCTGTTTGATCATCTTATTAAACACCTGTTTGATCATCTTATTCCACACCTGTTTGACCACCTGATCCCCCACCTGTTTGATCATCTGATTCCACACCTGTTTGACCACCTGATTCCACACCTGTTTGATCATCTGATTCCACACCTGTTTGACCACCTGATTCCACACCTGTTTGATAATCTGATTCCACACCTGTTTGATAATCTGATTCCACACCTGTTTGACCACCTGATCCCCCACCTGTTTGATCATGATCATTGATTCCACCTGATTTGACCATTGGATTCCATACCTGATTTGATTACCTGATTCCATACCTGATTTGATTACCTGATTCCACACCTGATTTGATTACCTGATTCCATACCTGATTTGATTACCTGATTTCACACTTGTTTGACCACCTGATTCCCCACCTGGTTGATTATCTGATTTTACATCTGGTTTGACCACCTGATTCCACACCTGTTTGATAATCTGATTCCACACCTGTTTGATAATCTGATTCCACACCTGTTTGACCACCTGATCCCCCACCTGTTTGATCATGATTTCGGACCTGATTTGACCACTTGATTCCATACCTGATTTGATTACCTGATTCCATACCTGATTTGATTACCTGATTCCACACCTGATTTGATTACTTGATTCCATACCTGATTTTATTACCTGATTCCATACCTGATTTGACTACCTGACTCCACATCTGATTTGATTACCTGATTTCACACTTGTTTGACCACCTGATTCCACACCTGATTTGATTACCTGATTCCACACCTATTTGAACACACACGATGGTCCACTAAATCTTGATAATATTGAAGATGCTTCTAGTACAGAATATACTAATTTAAGACATAACACAGTATTAAAGAATTATACAATCTACATATGATTGTGTATGTAGCCTGTTTATACCATTTATAAATCGTCAGGTTATAATGCTTAAATTAACATCTGTATGGTTGAAGCAAGCCGCCTACGTTTTAGCACCTCAGTCTCTTATTTATGCAATAAACGTTGTAGAACTCAATCTAAGCTGTATGTATTAATCATGAGAGAGATGTATTAAATTTCACACTGCCTATTACTTCACATTAATACCCAGGCACCATGCATGACTTTCAAATCTGATATGGAAAATTTTCTAATGGATGGCTGTGATGCAATCTATGTGACGATAGGTTATATTTACCGTTGATTATGTAATACAGATTTGGTTAAGGATTAAAATTAAAACATGACTGCGGTCATAATTCTCTATTGTTTGTTTATTGACCAAGGCTTTAGGGCATGTACAATACTGATGAATTATTCAGTACATGTATTTACAAATTAAGCTATTGGTCCGAGTTCTTCATTTGTGTTGACGTAAATGATAAAGAAATGGGAATACTACCCATGACGTCATAAACTATTGTGTTCATTTGTGTTGACGTAGATGATAAAGAAATGGGAATACTACCCGTGACGTAATAATCTATTGTGCCCATTTGCGTTGACGTCAATGATAAAGAAATGGGAATACTACCCGTGACGTAATAATCTATTGTGCTCATTTGCGTTGACGTCAATGATAAAAAAATGGGAATACTACCCGTGACGTAATAATCTATTGTGCTCATTTGCGTTGACGTCAATGATAAAGAAATGGGAATACTACCCGTGACGTAATAATCTATTGTGCTCATTTGCGTTGACGTCAATGATAAAGAAATGGGAATACTACCCGTGACGTAATAATCTATTGTGCTCATTTGCGTTGACGTCAATGATAAAAAAAATAGAAAATGACTGTATTCAGAGAATTTGATTAATGTATTAATGTGCGAGTATAGGATAACAATATCATTGTGATCAAACAATTTCCTAATTTTGTCTGAACATTATGCCAGGATGATGAACCGAAAACATGCTGTGTTGGATTCACATTAAAGTGAATTAAATCCATTCGATCTGTCATTCTTAAAATAATAAGCAGCTTAAAAGTTTGAAGTAAATACAAAATTCAAGTCTTTATTCCTTGATCCTGATGGCAAGGCCGTACTATATTTGTTCACGTGACGAATATGTGGATTTGCCTGCATGTTTTATCTAAATCATTGTGTATTAAGCTAAGTCGATAACTAAAGGTATCCAAAGACGAAATACTTGCTAATTATGCTTCAGTATTACAATAACTGAGATTGCCACCTACTGATTAGGAAAAGGACCATCCTCCATTATATCTGGCTTCCAAGCATCCATAGAAACAGCGTTTAATTGCTGCCTCGTCTAGTTGTTCTACCAAACCTTTATTCAAGCTTCGACCATTTTTAGCACAATAAAACAGGAGTCGGAACTCACACAGTTTACCGTCAAAGGGGAATTCCAGGAGAACGGATTTCAAAAACGTAAAAGAACTTTTTACTAATCTTAAACATCCTTCTTTGAAAATGTTTCGTCATGATTTCTCCACTTTGCCCACAACCAAGTCCCACTGCAAACCAAAGGAAGGTCGCAATGTTCCGTTTTGCAGAGTTTTCTTTTAATGTTGGGAGAAGTGTGTTATTGTCAACTATACTATATACTAAAACATATTTCGTATAAAAAAAAAAAAAAAACGCATAATGAAATTATGAAAAGTTCTGGTTATCAATATCTTCATGAAAAATATAAAGATCTTATAAAAACAGGTTATAAAGACTTTAACATGTCCTTTAACTTCACTTTTAAAAAAATCGGAGATCAAGAAAACCACGGACGACATCATTCGATATCATTTCATATGGCGACAGTGTTCCACTAAAATGTATGATGACCGTGATGACGTCAATTTACAAGGTTCAAAGGTTTCAAGGTTTCATTCGTTTACTGACACAATTACGTGTGTAACAAGAGGCCGCATGCGTATAGTTAACATGATACATGGCGTGTGATAATAAGTACAGAATTACAACATTTTCCGTTAATAATGATAATTCATTTTTGCATAATTACATAGAGAAGGAACACAGTCTGGTACAGAAATTAATTCAATGATCAAGTTTTTTCTATAAATCTACATATTTTTGTGAAGATTTTTACATTAAGTATATCAAACAAACCTAACATTCTAATTTGACTCAGAAATGTGCAATAATATGTTGGTATATATTTCTCTCTTATACATTTCACTGATTCATTTTGGTAATTAACCAAATATTAAATTCATCTTCAATGTTGGAATTACATAAAGTATAGGTTCTCTCTACGAGGAATACCTGACCATCTTCCTGTTTCTACAGGTAAATGCATATTTGAATAACGAAACTTACACATAATTTTCCTATTGTTAGTGTTAAGCTTAATTAAATATTTTCTTGTTCAAATTTTGTCTAAAAATGGAATATGTCTGCCCTCTAGATGAGTTAGGAATATCATCGAAACATTTCTGTATATATTGATCCTTTAGTCTATTTTTCACCAATGTCTTCATTTTATCTATAGAAAAGGAACATGTAGATTGACAGTACCAGACATAACTAGGTCAGTTTGGAATAGAAATTCTTTAACATTTGTGATCCATTTAAATGGTTCCATTTTCTTGTAACTTATACATTAACTTATAGATAATACCTGATAACTTATCAGCGGTGATCAACTTATGCCAGAATGTTATTATTCTACATTTAATTTCAATGTCTTGTGGGTATCTTCCCAGCTCACCATAAACAAAGAAATTAGCTGTGTTTTTTCTTAGGTGAGTATATTTTTACAAAATTACACATAGATGCTTTCTATGATATTGCAGTAGAATTGGAAGGATAACTGAATCAAATCTGTCCAATTGTATATCAACTGGTAGTGATATGTGTCTTAGATTCTTACAGACAGCAAAACCTATTTCTTTCCTAGTTCAACAACCTTTTATTTCGTGCTTAAAAAAGGTTACAGTTGAAGTGAAATAAAATGCCTACATATATATACCCTTCATGTGTTTCTAATTCTATGTTACATAATGTAAAGATACATTTCTAAATCATTTAAATAACTTGAAAACAAAAATGGCGATAAATCTCAGAATCTCAGAATCGAGCAAATCCGACGCTTTACATCATTTTTTAACACTTAATTTGGTATTATCATATTACCTAAAGATAACTTTGAAAATTTTTTTGAATCTTCTTTCCAGATCGATTCTCCATACAAAATCGGCGATGAAAGTTTCTTTCCTACTGAAAAAGATATTGAGATTAGGGAATATAAATCAGAAATATTGTCAGTTGTAAGATGACCTTTGCTAGACCGAGCATGAATACAACTTATCAGGTCAAACTCATAAGAAACTGCGTTAACATGATTATTAATAACCGAGATGAACACTTTACCAAGGCACGACAAAAGATATGTATGTTACTTATAATATCTTCATTTGGGATTTGATGTTTACAGGATGCTTTGTTGTTTATCAAGCTGAGTAAAGAGAACGCCATTTCATCGGTTGTGATTTCACCATCCTAGAAATTATCAAAATTACTATTATGAGGTTCAAGGTTGTAAACATCTTGAGTAGACTCGACAGGTCCTTAAAGTATTGGTGTAATTCATTAATATATATATATCAGCATTATTTTTCTTTACATACCCGTCACATGTATTAAAAATATTCCAGAATTTTTTTAACCCATTTTAACATTTCTAAATTCATTTGACAATTTTTTTTAATAATTTCTGAAACTTTTATTTAAATTTTTTCTGGACATTTTACTAGCTCTGTTGAGGATAGTTTTACCCATAGAATTATTCTCTTTTTTGAATCTGACCTTGGCTTTATCATGTGTGTGTGAAAATTTCATTTCTACATAGCATCATCAATGTTTCCCAAACTTACAGTGTTGACATATTCAAAGAGTTGTCCACAATGTATGGTCATCAGCGTGATATCATATGGCAATATTTCATTTCCTTGTTGGATATTAAGTTATATGTTTCCAGTTCCCGATTGTCTGTCTGATAGGTCCGACCTTTACTCTGTCTTGGCGAGTGTTGGCGCGATGAAGCATTAGGTACTCACCCTTCCGGAACACCAGATTTTATTTTTAACTTACATTTCATGAATCCCCGAGTAAATATTTGTGTTTTGCCCTCCTTTAATCGGTTTTGAACTTAAAGAAAACACACACATGTCGTATGTTTAAGGCACTGTTTTGCATTGAAGAACTTGCACAATATTTAAGACACCACAACTTTCCGTAGAAACTGGTAAATGGACAGAATCTGTCAACTGTGTCAATAAGATGTGATGTGTATACTATACTATGAACTTTGAGATCAGCTCTGTCGACTTTTATTCCGACAGGGAGATAGGAATTCCCTTCCGAGACAGGGACCTAGGAAAGCCCTTCAGGGATAGGGACTTAAGAAGTTCCTTCAGAAACAGGGACAGAGGAAAAGCCCCCAGAGACAGGAACCTAGAGCCATGGTCATAGAAAATGTCTTCAGGGACAGGGACTTGGGAAGTTCATCCAGAGACAGGAACCTAGGAAATCTCTTCAGAGACAGGGACTTGGGAAGTTCATCCA